TTTCAAAGTGGCTTAGGTTAAAGTAAACTACAACATGGGATGCCGGTCGCAGTTGTTTCTCGAAGCTTGTCTGAGGCAGAAAAAGGTTGTGTATGCACAAGCTGAAATGAATTTTTAAGTTGGCTGTTTCTAAATTACGTTATTTTATTTTCGGGTGAATAATTACAGTGTAAACTGACTACAAATCTTTAGTGTCCGTAATGAATATAGGCAGTGTACTGTAATTGTAAACTTTATCTGTTGTAACCAACAGATAAAATAAAATTATTAAAATTTCAGTTAAATCTTAAGTATCTTACTGTAGAACAGGTGTTTCTTATCACGATCATTTATTCACAAACTTTAGCTATTGATAAATCTTAAGAGACGGCGTTCAAATGAAATATAACCATTGAAGCTTAAAATACTTGAAGGTTAGATATTGAAATTACTTACACGTTCAAGGAAATCTAGCATTTTTAAAAGACAGAATGATAGTGCCAATTAATATAAAAACATACATGTTGAAGCTGCTTCATAGAATTCACTTTGTAGAAGCGCAAACTAAAACTTCAGAACGACAAGGCCAGGAATCAATAAATTAAATGATTTTCAGAGAAAATGGTCGAAATAGCTAAAGCAAATTCTCCATACTAATAGGGTTAAGTACACGAAGCACTTTTTAGAATAATGGACTGTACCAGTTACTAAAATAACTGTTTCACCAGCACGGATCCTCAAGAGCTGGTTTCTTCATACAGAATTACTAGCTACTATGTCAGCCTAAAAATAAGAATGACAAAAGGTTTTCAAGAAACAGGTAGATGTTAACATTTTTTAAATTTTATCGTGATAGGCAACCCACGAAAGACCAGATTTTGATGTAGAAGAAGAAAATGTACGGATGAGAGTTAATAATTATTGGGAGCTAACCAAAATTTTTAAGAAATATGAAACCCCAAGATCATTCTTAGTAAAGACATATTAGTAAGTATTTCGACTTTTGAGAAAAGAGGTTTAGTTCCTTGTGTTGATATTTTATAACCTAAAAATTCAACTTTGCTCAAACCCAATTTGCAATGTTTATGCACAGTTCATAGTTATTGAATTCTTTGGAACACTAAATCATGATGTTTTTTGTGTGTTTCAGTATTTGGAGAGGCAATGAGAACGTTGTTAAAGCTTACAAGAAAAAAAGTATCACCGACTTTTTCAGCTTTCAGTACTTAAAATTATAAATCACACTTCAGCACGAAGTAGCCTTTAATTAAAGACTCGCATCATAGATTTAAAAATAGTCTCTATCATTAAAACACTATAACTGCGGTGATTATTTATACAAAAGAATCAGTTTCAACGAAACTGCATCGTTCTCGAACTTAAATATCTCTACTGTTGCCATACACAAGTTGCTAAATTATACTAACAAAATAAATAATGCATTATTAACAAACTCGTCGAAATAGCAAAATACAAAGTCTAGGCCGCTAAGCACTGTGTGCATAAATCTTAGGGAGATTCGTGCAGTGTTACATAAGCCAAATGTTATATAAGGAAATTCAAAAAGTCCAAAGGTTGTTATGATGGCGGTCTTCGGAATATCAGTTTCATGAAGCAGAATCTGTTGCTAGGCTTTTATCAAATCTAAGGTTGAAAAAATCGTTTTTCCATGTACAGACATTAGGCTTATTTCTGAAGCATGAGAAATGAAAATTATGCAATGCCTTCGCAGGAAATCGAACCGCAGACCTCTGGAATACGCGCCCAGCGTGCAGACCACCACACCACGAAGGTGGGAGAAATACCTTATATACTTCCCCCTTTTAAATGGCGACTAGAGTTTTTAGGGGACCCAATCGCCAAATACTGTGTGAGGAGAATTATCATCTACAACCTTTTTAGTTCGGGCGCCATTGTAGAGACATTAGGTTTATTTCGGAAGCAGGAGAAATGAAAACTATGCAACGTCTTTGCCGGGAATCGAACCGCCGGCATCTAGAATACGCGCCCAGCGTGCAGACCACCACACCACAAAGTCGTGCCAAGAAGGCGGGAGAAATACCTTATATCCATTCGGAATATGTGTATAGTTCTCAGAAACGGTAGTGGATAACAGTATGGTATAGTATTTCCATAAAGGCCACGGTAATCACCGCGTGGTCTCCAATCACTCGATTTTTTTTTAAATGAGGTGTAATGGACTTGACCAGTTGCTTTTGGATGGTCTACAGAGACTTCTTGCAGCATATAATCGAATTCCTTTTCCACAGCAATCAACCTTTCTTCAAACTTTAAAGCATACGAGGTTACCTTTGGTTTCGATGTAATACTCCACATCATGTCCTTTAATTTCATCACTTTTATGGTGGGTTTAAGTAAGTTAGGAAATTTATTTAGAATGGCTGTATATTGGTTTTTGAAAAGTATCGGCGATTAATTTAGGTGTGTGTATGTGTATTGAAAATACGACAAAGCACACTAAGGCTATCTGCCTTCGTGGAGGACTTTCTAAGGGGAACTGGCTCGTATACACGTTACACATGGGGAAAACCACGAAAACGCCCATGCAGCCAGCCCGTTAACGGGATTCGAACCTCGGACGAACTACCAGTGTTCAGCGATATTACCGCTTGGCCGCTGGTGGGGGATTAATTTAGGAGTGATGCTATTGTTACACAAAGTACCTTTAGCCGTCAGTGAGGTGGTGGCGTCGATTAGTTTTCTATTTTACTATGATGGACAAATCAAAATGTGAACAAAAAAATCTATTCCAACAATAGGCTCATTGACATCCGCAAAGATAAAAGGCCAGTTGAAAGATCTGTGCAACCTTAAATCCAGTCCTAATTGTTTTTGACCATACGTTTTGATTGTTGTACCGTTAGCTGCAGATATCTTGAAGCTTAGCCACAGTTCTTTTTTCCAATGGTGATGATGTAATAACGTATATTTCTGCTCGAGTGTCATTGAAAAATGGGTTGCTGATTGTCAGGAACATTGTTGTGTTTTGAGAAACATTAAAACGACTCAGCTTCATTCCATGACTTTCGGTCGTCATCGAAGGCCGGGAATTCGCTTTTCCTGTTTCGAAGCCTGGTAAATATTTGTATGGCGGGGTGCATTTGTAAGCTCTCTCGCCAAAGTGTTGTTGAAAATAACAGTTATTTGGGTCACTGTTGTTTTAGGAACGATTTCTTAAATTCGATTTGTATCTCCGTCTCTGTGGATCGGAATTTTTATGCCTATTCCTTTCTGCGATCTGCAGTGTCAAGAAGTTTGGTATCTATTTCTGTAGATCTTGGGCAATAATGTTATCAGATGGCGGAGGAACAATGCGAGCTAGCTGTTGGATCGGGATTTAATTCCCATATTTTGTCAGCCATTGCAGATAGTTTGAACAAATCAGCCCTGCTTACAGACAAAATACTCCGCATATTAAGTGGTAGTCGTTGCATCCACAATGTTTTCAAAAATTCATCCGGCACTTGCTCAGCCGCCAAGTTACGCATTTCGTAGAGATGTTGGGAAGTTTTCTTATCACTGAGTTCTAATCTGGTCAGAAGTTTCTGAGTTTTCTGTTTCAGAATCGGCAAAAATTTCAATAAGCCTATTTTTAATGGCCGGATATTTGCCGCTGTCTGGAGTTATGGTGAAAATATCAGCAATTAGTGACAATGTCCCTGCTTCAATAGAACAGACTACATAACTCTACTTTGTTTGATCAGCCATAATTCCAGCATTGCGGAATCGGGCTTCGATCTGAAGAAACCATATTTTGGGATCCAGCTTCAAAAAAGGAGGGATTTTGATGCTGACTCTGGAAACAGTCGCAGTTGTTGCATTAGTTTCAGTTTGTTTACTTTCATCTCCGTCAGCCAAAATAGAATTAGGCTTAACGGATGTACAGTTATTTTTATTCAGTTTATTTTACTTTTTATTCCTTTACCAGTTAAAGTTTGCTTAGTACAAACTAGTTTTTTTAGTTCATTTACTTTTAACACACTTGATGCGTTCTGAAAAGTTTTCAATAAATTTACAACTTAATTGTATACATTACCGCCAAAGACATATTGCAATATAGAACAAAATTTAAACTTCTAAAGTTCACTTACACATTTCAGAAGTATTTTCAGTCCTACGTACGCTCGGAATTTATACCTTTCAGATGCATAAAAATAATCGAGCCATCAATTCTTAATGCAATCCATGCGAATACACGAAGCACTGCGAAATCAAAACTGTTACTCAATCCACTATGGAGCTCAGGGGGAAAAAGTACAGAACTTTACAGTGGGCAAGCAGTTGTTACAACGCTGACATATTTAATAACAGATGAACTATTTATAATATACGTAGAATGTCAATGACATCTCAACATCTTCCAGAAACGTATATTCTTCTTCTTCTTTCTTACACCTCATAAGTGGAATTGGATCAAATCCGGATAAAGCAGTGAAGTGCCAGCAATATAGGAAAATGTTAAACACTTCTCCGACTCCTATAATATTAACATTTATTCCTATCGAATTTCACTAAACAGAAAACCACAACATTGTTCTTTTGGTTTCAAGGTAGCTTAGTGTTGCCACTCTGGCGAAAGAAAATTCGCACACGAAGAGTTTCTCAGACGGGGCTCAGTATCGCAAATGATGTCGCCACAATTATTACTCATGCTTACATTATGAAAATTTATTTATAGCTAAGTAGAAATGAGAATATTTATAGTTTTTATCACAAAGGGGAGAAAATTGGGATATAGTTATCAAAATAACGCAAAGACTCGAAAAATCCAAAAGAAAAAAAAAATTACTGCTTGTTCAAAACGGTATGTACGATCAGCATATGGATGCCTTAAAGACATAGTAATACTAAAATCTTTTAAAATGGAATATCAGCCTGCAGCACACAGCAAAGATTAGCTGATTGTAGATGTGAAGTTCTACCGCGTTACCTAGCGGGAAAAATGAGCATTTTCGACATCGGTCTTCATTGGATACGATGTGCCGTTCGCAATTTTTACCTATCTGTTGGCGGCAGATTCAACACAATTCCTAATCTAAGATGGGTGTAGAAAGAGATTTGGATTTGTTAGAAAATAAAAATTCAAATGTTTTGACTGGTATGAATTTTGAAATCAGGATGGATGACGAACCTAATTTTAGTGATCCTGAAGATTTTGTTGATGATATTACTGATGAAGGTAAAGATTATAAATATTTTGGTAATTTATGAGAGTTAAAAAAAATAGCCACGTGTAATCCTATTCACGACATACTTACAGATACGAAAAAACCTATATGATTAAACTAATGAGTTTAGAAACTTGTAACATTACTTTCGAGAAATAACATTACTTTATTGTTACTTTCGAGAGCTTCTGTACCCTATTCATCCTATCATATCAAGGGAATTATTATTAATTACTATTAACAATTGTAGAATTTTTTTTAATCGTAAAGGTGCTGTGAGTTGATAATGTTTTTTAACAATAACATGAAGTTTAATATCAAATTATATGAATTAGTGTTTTTGTTATTTCTTGAGACAAGTATTTACTCTTCTGCGACATAAAATTTATTTTTTGTCATACTTAAAAATAGTTTGTTTATTTATTTTTAAGTAATATTATTTCTTGTCCATATTTTTTAACTGCAAGTAACCATTTCGTTTATTTTAATGAATGCAATAACATATCAAAGGAAACACTGAGAAGTATATAATTTTATATTAGTCATCCTGCCATTTATCATTATTAAAATGTGATATTGTGTTATCATTGTATAAACCGTATTATGGAGAAAGTAAATTTTTATGAACCTCATATTGGTATCGCTGACAAAATTAATATTTAATAAAATTTTGTACCTTATTTCAAGAAATTTGAAATCTAGGATCAATGTTTAAGAAAATCAAGCCTGTAGCCTTTTTTCTTTCAGAAAATGTACACACACACACGTATATATATATATATAAAAGCAGGAGTAGATGATTCTCTTGAGTGTTTATATTTAAGTACTATGATGTTTTTGAATTTTTTGTTCTTCTGCAATATCAAATTTTTTAACACTATTTTCTTTATTTTTTAACTGTTAAAAATAAAACTGTCAAATTTTTTTCAACTGTAAAAAAACAGCTGAATAATAAATATACATAATTCATTTTATTTATTTTTATGTCAAATTTTCATTTAGAACTTCTTGATGATTTATTGAAAAATGAGCCTGAAGAAACAGATGGAGTAGAATCTGTCATTATTGTTGACGGTATCCCTAAAGTTGGGCCAGAGAGATTTGAAAAACTGAAAAATGTCATTCATAAACTTTATTCAAATTTTGGTAAAATTGCAACTGTTGATTATCCCTTGGATGAAAATGGGGTGACAAAAGGGTATGTTTCCAATATTCTAAATTTTTTGAAACTGGTAATTGCTGTACTCTAATTCAAGTTGCATGGATTTGGTGAAATCTGATGTTATGCATTGTTTCCTCTCTTAATAAGAAAAATAACATGTTTGCATTAAGCTTTTTTTCTCTTTTTCTCTGTTTGATTGATTTTTAAATTGCAGACTAAAGTTTAGGCGATGCAAAGGCAATAATTTTTTAAAGTTATATATAAATATTTATGAAGCCAGAAGCATCGCGCAGTAAGAAGTAATGCAATGCAAATGAAATTGCTTGAGCATTTTTCATAATTTAAATTTGTTTTGCATGTTATCTCTCTAAAACAAACATTATTTTCAATGAATTGCTATTAGTTTTGATAGTGATGGCATATTTATTTTATAGGAGTGTTGCATTCTTCTAAATTTATAAGGTATGTAGAAACTAAAACATCTGAATTTTTATTTATCCTATCAACATGGAACAAAATGTAATTTATTCAAAAGAAGATGAGTTATCAGACTTATTATTATGCATTTGGGGAAGAACCAGATAACTGGCACTTGGCACAATTTTTTCCGCCATCTTGAATCGGCGAAAATCGCCAAATCCTCAGAAGGATTTTTTTGACGCCAAGAGGGAAATGACGTGAAAAGACGCTTAACAAAATTTCCCTCTTGATCCCGATATAGGGGAAAAACCCGTGCTAGGCGGAAAACGCCTGAGGCTAAATACAGTAATGCGTTAAAAAAGGTAAACAATGCACATAGAACTAATTTAGTTATTGATGTGGTTAAGTTAATGGTTGATCTTTACAATATGGTAACTGGTAGTTTGGCGACATTTTGGAGGCGATAAAGGTTACTACCTGGGACTTTGGTAATAATGTGAGCAGTACTCAGTTCCGATTACGCATTATTTTGTGTGAGGGAAATGAGAGATCATGGGATATGTCACGTGATATTAATGGACGAATTACGGTTCTTTAATTGGAAAAGGGGGGAAATCGGGAAAAAATCTGGAAATTTTGTATTTGGCTTTATTCTGTGTTGTGTGAAACAGTGTTCGTGAATTTTTGGATCCCATGGCCGTAACTAAAGTGAATTCGAAATGGGTATTTATGTATATATTAATTTAATGTATGTGCTCATTTATATTTTTAAGTAGTGTTGTTGATTAATTATTTTTAATTAAATGATAGTTATTTTGGAATTTTATGTTTGTAGAATTTGGTATCGTTATTTTGAAGTAACCGTGCATGGAAATAATTTAAATATCTGACACTAAGTATTTGTAATTGTTGCGGTATGAATTCGATGGTGACGTGTATAATGTAATAGATGATCTAGAAGTAAAAGTTTTGGATATTTTTATTTATTTTATATGTGGAAATGTTCATATTTGGAAAGGGTAAATACTTTTTTTCGCGATCAGGTAATTTCATATATGTTCTTTTTACCGGGTTTAAAGATTGAAAATTGTCATGTATTTTCGTGAAATTTTTCTAATTTATGGAAAAAGCAGTGTACATGGATATAGTGAAGAGTGTGCGCAATGGCATTTTTTGTGTAATTCTGGGATTTTTTTTAAGTAAAAATAAGTCGGGCCTGTACATGGTTTATGTGTATGTGTTATTTTGAAAACGCGTAAGGAGTATGGTATTGTGCACTTTTTCCCAACTTTGCAGTGAATATTTGTCATGATTAGCAGTTTGTTAGATAAATTTCTAGCATAAGTGTAATTCGCTAGTAGATTGTTGGAGAAGTTTCAGTAGATAAAAGAAAAGAAACTATCTTTACTTCGTGAAACAAAATGGGCGGGAAAAAAAATAGAGGGTTGCTGTAAAAGAGTTGGTCGCCAAATTTTCGCCAAAAAAACGCCAAGTTACCATAATGTAAAGATCAACCAAGTTAATCTTCATACTTTTTTCACCTTAGTATTTTAGTTTATGATATATATAACTCCAACATTATTACCGTTTATACTTCTCTTTTTAATTCTGACCATTAATTTCTCTAATTATCCACAATAATAGTTAAATATCTTTAAAAATATGGTCTTCATATAAATGCAGTAAAGATCATGCAAATGGAATATTTATCAAGCAAGTAACGTTAAAAATTTTAAAAGATCAACTATACATGAATTTACTATTAAAAAAAAAAAAAAACTTTCATTTCACACATTGCATTTTATGTTGATGAACTAAACCGATCGTTATAGATTTATTTTTGCTCTTTTTATTAAAATAACTATATGTCAGCATTTTATATAGAATAAATAATTTATGTAAAATTATCCATTCACGTTATATTAAAAAAAGTAAATTAGATAAATCAGTTAAATATTAAATGGATTATTTTTAAACTAAAAATGATGTTAGATTTAAGCTAAAAATATATCAAACTAAAACACTGGTAACGTACAGGAATAAAGGTTTAGTAGTAGACAGAAGAAAATACAGAAATAAATATTTATAACTTCTTAAAGTGAAGAAATTACAAATATTCTTAGTTACGAAATAAAAATTTTAATATAAATAAAAATAGTAATTCGAATATGCAATATCAATAGATTGAAATAATAAAAATTTAATTGAAAAAATATTTGCTTTTGCAGGTGATTCCTTTGAAGTGGTACCACGTGCACCAACAAATAATCTAGTTCAGACTTCAGAGGTCAAGTTCATGGGATTTTGCGACTACGTCATTCGCGAAAAATCGATTCCCAGTTAATAACGATATTTCGTGAAAAATTTGTTTGATCAAAATTACTAACATAAACACAAAATGTATATAAATTTATTATTATTTTTATTGTTAACATAATTTCACATTAATAAGTAACATATTTTTTTGATAATAAAAGTTTTTGCAAAAATTAAATTTGATAGATGACTGTGCACTAAAAGTGTTCCTTTTTTTTTAATATGTGTGTCTTTAATGTTGTTTATAAATCAACTCAATGAAAAGGTAGGTATTTGAGTTTCATAACCAAATCGGCAATGAATTGGATTACACAAAGCAAATAGTACAGTGCAACTTAACCGTAACCGTTCATTGAAATAACCTTGACTTGTCTTACAGGTGCAAAATAAGACATCTGTCTCTTTGAAAAAAAAAAAGAAATTCCTTTTTTTTTTTTTTTTTTCAGGTTTCCAAAAACCAGCTTCTTTTGAATTTATTAGCACGGAAGCAGAATTTTCCCCCCTTTTGTCTTAAAATACGAAAATAGTTTTCATGTAGGTAAACAAAGAAATGTAATCCTGAATTGCATAACTGCAGGAAAACAAGATTTCTAACAATATATTTCAGGAATGTATTTCGGTTATGTATTTGTTGCAATATGGTGATGCAAAAATTCAATATTTATATTCATTGCCATTAAAACTAACATGATAACACACAGCAAAAAAATCTATGAAGATAAGTCTTATTCAAAGATCTGATGATATAAATTTAATTAACTTTATTTGTTTATCTGTGAAAGAATTTTGCTCAGTTTTGTATATAGTTTTAATTTTTAACTGATACACCGAACTCCCCAAAATCCTCTATTAAAGAATCAGTGAATTACTTTAGAAAAGTAGCAGAATATTGTTTCTTTAATATTTTACATTAACTTATTAGCATTTCAAAGTCTTATAAGCATTTTATTTCAATATAAACTTGATTAGGAGGGATTAAAAAGTTGCTTGTATTATACAGAGTGTTTGTCAGCAAGATAGCAGTATAAATGCTACACACTGGTAGTTCATCTTGGAGTTCGACTAACGAATTTCCGTCATCTTAAGCAAATAACCCGCGAGTGCTTTTCTCATTCTAAATAATTCGTGTTAGGAGTACAATTAATTTATTTTAAAAATTAATTCCTGTTTGTTAAGGCTAGATAAATAACACCCATATACTTAAATAAAGTAAATAATTTTAAAAATGTGCCCATGCGAACGATAAGTTGGAAAAAGACCATATGTTATCTACTTTGTTGTACTAATTATAAGGGTAATTCATTTGTAAGTTCATTAAGTTATTTAGAAAATAATTTATAAGGTAATTAAATGGCAACTGGGAGTGCAGTATTAATATTATTTAATAATTATGAATTATTTGGTAATACTTAGTTATTTAAGTTTTAAAATCATAATAATTTTAATAGTAATTTTATTTTCTAAAATGTTTTTTAGTATAGCGAAAAAAGCGTATGGTTTATGGCAACTTGAAGCCCGTCTCCGGTAATTAAATAATTATGATTTTAATAGCATTTAGACGTCTAATAGATTTTAATAGTCTAATAAATAATAATATTCTGGTCTAATAAAATAATTAAATAGCGAATGATCATACGGAACAACAAACAGCATATGAGCGTACGCACCACGTGATCAGCACGACGATTCATCTGCACATGACATGCCAAAGCAAAGTCACATGACAGCCAAAGCAAAGTATTTACATATAGAAAGAAAATATCCCTTCGCTTTTCCCTTTCTCCCTAGCGTAGTGAAGATCTAAACTAGCAACCTAAACTATCCTCTCACTTTATGGCGCGTATCGCCCAAGTTGGCGAAGTCGATTTCAGGAAGTTCGCCAAGTGCCGGTTATCTGAGTATCCCCTGCATTTGCATCTGATAGGTGTTTTCATACATCAAATAGATCAAACGATAAATGTTTTCATGCATACAAATTACAATCCTGTGTTTTTCTTGAATTTTTCCCAAGATTTCCAAAATTTAAAAATGAACAAAACCGAAAGCTCTTAAAATTAAATATTTCTAGTAGGGAGTCACTTTAAGTTCTAAAAATCTGTGTCACGCGATGTGTATCCTGTAATACAGAAGGGAATTATACACAAATTTTTCAGTTTGGAATTTGACTGCAAATACTGCCAACACAAAGTGAAAAAATATTTTGTTAGTTCAAGCAGTGGTTTCCAGCCTGTGGGGTGTGAGACTATTACAAAGGGGCCATGCAGCAAGTACCAAAATAACATTTTTTAATACAAACAAGAAAAAGTCAATTTGGTGTTAAAAAAAGATGAATAAGCAATGCATAATTCACAACTTTTCATCTGAGTGTCTCAGACTCAAATGCTAGAAATCCATCCACGCTCTTGCCCTAACATAAATTCTTGCTTTTTCATTCAGAGCCGAGGTGAGGAAACACAAGACAATCACTTGGGTACTCTCAGCAGGAGTAAAGAGTTGGTAAACAAAAGAATTTCCTGTGTAGCAATAGAATAGTATCTTATGGTATATTTGTTAATAGTGACTGCGAAAACTGCATTGATATGAAAAATGAAACACTGCACTTGTACACTTTTAAATTAATATTGAAACAAATTTGAAAACTGCAATAAAGTGCTTTTAAATTGATTTTAAATAATAGCACTTTTAGATCAATAAGTATGTAACTGGGTTGGAAAGATAACTGAATGAAGCACAGGAAGCCAGTAAAAGTAAAAGTAATCTAAATAGTGGTTATACAACTATGTTATTTTGGCAACAGATAGCGTAAAACCCAAAAAATTTAAATGATATCGTAAAAAAGTACATGCAGATCATGTTGCAATGACCAAAGAAAATTAGAGATTTTAAATCAACAATAAAAAGCATTTTTATTGTCTCTTACCATGCCTATCATGTTTGTGGCATAAACTTAAAATGTTCCTTTTTTGTCATTAGTGGCATATATATATATGAGCGTATTTGGAAACTAAGTACCATTTTGAAAACAAAAATAGTAAAACAATTTTTTCGAATCCAATTTTATTTTTACATGAAAATACATGCCTTAAACTATTTTTCAACATAGTTTCCGCCAATGATCAAACACTTGTCATAGCGGGTGATCAATTTTTGTATACCATCGTCAAAGAAACTTCCCGCCAGTTCCGATAACCACGACTCCACAGCATTTTTCGTGTCATTGTCAGATCCAAAGCGCTTGCCACCAAGCTCGCGCTTCATGTGCAGGAACAAGTGATAGTCGGACGGCGCCAAGTCCGGGCTGTACGGCGGGTGATCGATCTGCTCCCGATGAAACTGTCGAATTAACGATTGAGTGACACCAGCAGTATGGGGCGGAGCATTGTCATGGCGCAACACAATTTCTTTACTGAGCATTCCTCTTCGTTTGTTTTGAATGGCACGCCTTAGTTTTGTTAAAGTCTCACAGTATCGTGCTGCATTAATGGTTTCACCTCTGGGAAGAAATTCAGCAAGCAAAATGCCTTTCCTATCCCATAAGATACTGCACATGATTTTTTGTGATGACATTGTCACTTTGAACTTGTGTTTTTTCAGAGAATGAGTGTGTCTCCACTCCATCGATTGTTGTTTCGATTCTGGTGTGAAATGACACACCCAAGTTTCGTCACCTGTCACAATTTGGTTTAAAAAGTTTTCTCCCTCATCACTGTACCGCATGAGAAATGTCAGGGCACTACCAAGTCGCTTTGTTTTGTGAACATCAGTGAGCATGTTTGGAACCCATCGGGAACACAGTTTGCGATAATTCAAGCGGTCAGACACAATTTCGAACAAAACAATACGTGAAATTTGTGGAAATGCCTCTGAAAGAGTTGTCATTGTGAAGCGTTTGTTCTCATAAATTGCTTCATCAACTTTTCTTACCAAATCATTGGTGACAACAGAAGGCCGACCACTCCGAGCCTCGGCATGGACACTTGTTGGACTTGCATTAAACATTCTTACCCACTTTCTCACCATTCCATCACTTATCACGTATTCATCGTAAACTTCTGTCACTAGACGATAAATTTCGGACGCTTTAACATTCCTCGCGTTCAAAAATTTAATCACTGCACGAATCTCACAGTCAGCGGGAGAACTAATTGTCTTAAACATTTTGAATGTGGACAGCAAACTGAAAACACAACATAGAGCAAACCAAAATGGCAACAATTGAAAGTCAGTGAACAAGAAAGACTAGTGCGCATGCGCGGGACGCCATCCACAGCACTGCGACGGCGCTAGAATGAAACGGTACTTAGTTTTCGAATACGCTACGTATATATTTGGTTCCCTATATTCAGTACCATACATAAAATAAATTATCTCACAACAGCATGTAAAAATTGGATGACAAAGTAACTGATTTACATTGTCACATCTACCAAGAAATGACACACACAATCTCGAGGTCATCTGTTGTCCATATTAGTATGATACTAGGAACTTGATGTTATTGAAATCATTATACACTGTACAATAGTTTTCACCAAATTTCTGGACGTACTTTGCCCATTTGTTTTCCCTACTGACACTTTTCCTCTTACATCATATATAATATATGCCCATGCCCTATTGTATCAGTCCCAAGTCTATCTCCCGACTGGCTTTTCAATCCGTTCTGTTGACTTGTTCCCCTTTATGCTAATTTCTCTGCCTACTCCATTTTTCTTGCACACAAGTATATTTAAATTATCAGTATGTTTGGGTGATTACAAAGATAAAAATGGTGAAAATTATTAAGCAGTCTGTATCGTGTAACTTAGTAGAGTCATTAGGTTATATTGATGCAGAAAACTGAAGCATTCCACAATGCCCGGTTGCCTTTGGGGGGGTATGTGGGGAGAAAACTCCACGAACCCGATTTTCAAATCCCAGTGGTGACAAATCATCATTCACCAACTTCTTTTAGCCCGGGTGCCAGAATCATCAGGCTTTTTTAAGTTTCAGGGTAACAAAGAAATACACGTTGCCATCATCCAGATTTGAACTCCGATCCTCTTGAATATGTGTCTTATGTGCTTTCAGTTACACCACGAAGGCATGTAGGAAGTAAAGGAAAAAAATTCTTATTGTATGCCCCCTTTTAAAGGACGACTAAACACCCAATCGCCAAATCCTGGAGCAAATTATTGTACACTACTTTTTAGTTCAGGTACCAATTGTTTCGGGTCTTTTTCAGAATTTTTCTGTATCGGGAAGCTGAAGAAATCAGGTGTCCTTGCCAAGATTTAAACTCTGGACCTCTCGAATACGTGTGGAGCATGCTTGCAGTTACAACATGAAGACATGCGGAAATGTGGGAGAAAATACCTTATAACTTAATGTCCATTACCAAAAACAGTTTTCATTACTGTGCTTTGCTATTATATATACATACAGAATATGAAATTTCTTTTAATGACTTTCACAGATATTTTGTTATATTTTATTTGTTATATTTTCACAGATATTTGTTGATATTTTGTTAAGATTTTTTCAACCTCGCTTTTTTTTTTTTTTTTTTTTTTTTTTTTGTTTTTTTTTTTTTTTTTTTTTTTCAATTAAACTGCACAAAGTTGCTTATGGATGGTGGATGTTAAAACAGAGGTATCATAAAATTAAGTTAATGCAATAGTGCACAAATTTTCACATATGTATGTTTTTATATCATTTCTTATATTATGACACAAAACAGAAATTAATGAAATAGCATATTTTCATAATTATTAAAATTCCTGTATAGCAGATTTGCAGGCAAAGATTATGAGGCTTATATTTCTCTCTTGATGATTTCCATTTCCTACTCTACTTAGCAGAATTTTAGATTGATCTTTATATCTCCTTTGTGTATATTTATGGCTTATATCTGCTTGTATTGTATCTATAATACTTGTAGTTATTGTTTGTCTTTATTATAAAAATTCCACTTATGCATTGAGGAAATGAATAAAATCTGAGAATTATTTATTTTGTATATAGGGAACTGGATAAAATCCTAGGAGAGCCCACATACTTGGCGACAAACCGGGAAAGTGGAAAATCACCCACTGCTTCACGCGTTTCTCAAATTCGGCAACTTGAAAATAACAAGTCAAAGAATTGCACAAACTTGGCATTCCACAATCCCTTGACTTGGTCCATGTACACATCTATACGTGCCATATAAGTGGGTGCACCAAGGGTGTGGGCTCTGCTAAGTTCCAACCAGGTAACTGAATAGATGATAAATGTTGGTTGTAAATTTTTAATATCAATTATTTAATATTTTTACAGATATGTGTTCCTTGAATTTTCATCTCCAGAAATCGCTAATGAAGCTGTCAAAGCAACAAATGGATACAAACTTGATAAACATCATATATTTCATGTTAATCTTTTCACAGATTTTAAGAAGTAAGTTTTTTTTTAATTTTTATAATACTTTATTTTATCCTTAGCTTAAGTGATGCAATATACATATATAATATATACAGTAAGACCCCGCTTAACGCGGGGGATACATTCCATCAAAGTAGAACGTAATGCGAAACAGCGCTAAACGAGGCTATCTTTACATGTAAATATTGGGGTTAGGGGAAGATGGCTAAGAAATTGTTTAGGTATTAAATTTAAAAAGTATGTTTTTTTAATAAAAATAAAACCAAACATTTATTTTTTAAAGCCCAAATTAATACCACATTATTATTTTTTGCAAAAATAAAAAAATATAAATAACAAAACGAATATTCTTAAAAAAACAAATAAAATTCTCAGTCAGTCATATTTAGTTAGCCTTCCGCGTTTTCAGTGTTCTGCCTTTTTGTGACAGAAGCATCTAATGTTGTTTGCCTTTTTCTTTTGCGTTGCTCTCTTAAAAGTTCTTCATAAATGGATAGAGCATCTCTAACACCACGCCTTACTTTTGAGCTCCTGTCAAAATTCGGATCATTTTCCATGAATTGATCCATTATTTCAGTTATGGTAGACAAATTCATTTTTACAAACGCCATCGAAAGTTCTTTTTGCTATTCTTCTGAATCACTGCTGTCAACATTTTTGTTTTCTTCTTGTTCAGTTAATTCCTTGAGCTCATCATTAGAAAGACTAACCGCTGCTTCTTGAATATTTCTTTCTTCGACATCTTCCACATTTACCCCTTCAAAATATGTCTGTACAATACCGCACCAAACAAGAAATACAAGTACACTCTTTCGGATATGTATTTGAAACCTATCGCTACATAATATTTCGGGGAATCCCCGTATGCTGCGAGCGATTTCGTGGAATCCCCGGGTTGAAATAAAAGAGCGCTAAACCGAAACAGCGTTATGCGGGGTCTTACTGTATATTGTAACTGAGAGTGGATAAAATATAAAGAAACCATTAAAAAGAATTGCCAAATTTAAAAATTTCATAAATTGTGAAGAAAAAATTTTGGATTAATTTTATTTATTTATTTAGAATGAAAAAGTTCAGTTTGGGAAAAAGAGTCAGCATTTTATTCACTCTGAAAAATTCTGAATTTAATGAGCAGATTTCACCATCCTTCTTTACTGCACTAAAGAATTCTTAGCAGCCTTTGGAAAATGAATCTTTCTACATATTGGGAATTATATGTTCTAAATCGGAGATCATCCATCTTTAAGTTGTGTTTGAAGTAATGCTGCAAAGTCACTTAACATACCAAGCAAAACTCATATTTCTTCATATGACAACCATTGAGATTTATTTTTGATCTTGCATTAACATATTTCCAATATAATTAACTATTTTATTCATTATTAATTGGATAATATTTTTAATAATGTTGATGAATTAAAACTGACACAAAAACTTAGGTTTTGCAAAATTTAATTTTTGAGCATTGTTTTAAAATTTTTTTGTAAATGTGGCCACCCTGTCTGGCTTTTAAATGTACCAGAAAAATACCTAAAGGGAACAACCAAACATTAAATTTAAAAACTGTACAGAATTTTACTCTGCAGAATAACTTTATCAAAAAAAGAAAAAAAAGGAAAAGAAAAAAGACACAAATTTCAATAGAAATGTATTACAAAAAAAAATTACAATGAAGTAAGCAGTATCCCATAATACAAATATTAATTATCCTAATAAATAAATTAACCAACTTCACATTGCCTTCTCTCAACAAACTTCCAGTATCCAAGAGAAACGTTAAATTTAAAAACTGCAAAGAATTATTGCCCTCATTTTTCCAAGGGGTAACAATGCTGATTTTCAACAGTCAGCAGTCCAGTATACAAAACATTGAATGAAAAACTGTTGCCAAAACCACATTTCTAAAAGAATGAAACTGTTCAAAATGATGTGTTATCATCAAAAAAGATTTTAAAAAATCTGATTTGAATTTCGAAAGAAATCTCTTCGAGGTGCACTGGCTGGTGCGAGGCACTTGTCTAGATGCACCTATGTACGAAATTTTGTAGCCCTGGGTCTATTAGCTTAGGCGCAGCATGAACAAAAGACAGATTCTTTCTTTTATTATATGTAGAGATTTCAGTGTCATTGAAATCCAACATCCGGAAGCATAAAACAAATAAATCATAACTATAGTATTTATAAACAGATATATTAAACAACCTTCTTCTGTACTCAGAGCAGCTTTCATGCATGAGAAGATATTTATGCGTGTGTTGTTTTTTCTTTTTATTTAAAAAGGCTACATTATTGTGAGTAGAGTATTAAAAAATTATAGCAAAACACGTTGGCTATTTAGCCATCTCACATCAAGGGCATTGTCCAAGGTAACGTTATTGCAGACAGTAGCAACCATATTACACCTGCCAGGTAAAAGACAGGTACTTCTTTGTTATAGCAGCCCTCAGCCATATTTGGTAATTTTAGATTTCACCAAGCTTGTGAAGCACGAATGTAAAAATAAACAACACAGTATGTATAATAACAATAATACTCACATGTCATTTCCTAAGAATATTTTTAAGAATCTTTATGCTTATTATTATTATTTTACTACATGTGATTGTCCCAGTCAACTGCAGCACTTTCACACACAGGGTTCGTAGCGGTCCTTATAAGTGCCTTATATTTGAAAATAAAGTGTAAAGGCCCTTATAGGTGCTTACTTTTTCTTTAAAGCCCTTATCTTTTTGTTTTTATTGCTTATTTTTTGCTTTTAGTACTTTTTTTTTTTTAATGAATGCGCTATTTTTCCCCGTACCAAAGCTGAAACTAAATAAACAACTTTTCTTCCTAATATGAAATGTCAGATGGTGAGTCATACTCCCGAAAATAGCTTTTCACCCCTTTCTTTGCAAAAAGATGTTTTCTCTTGACACTCCAATAAAATAAGATCTTAACATAACCTTTGGTGTGCACGAAGAGTACAGACAGGTGCCCGTCGTTCTATTGGTCAAAGAATTGCGAAAGCAGTAGAAAATTCCAGTACATTCGGCATATTCTTTTCCTCCCACCCAAATTACACACGTTTGAATTTCTATCAAGATCTTAAAAATTTGCATTCTCGTTCTGCTTGGTCAGTTCATATTCGTGTTTATTATGATCGTTATGCTTATATTATGAGCATATGTATGAATGTTTATAATAACATAGTTGCAGTAACTGCTAAAGTATAGTAAACTTCCAAAAATGGTTGTGTTTTAACACAGATTAGCTTTCTAAGGAATAATATTCGGAATGGCTTAAATAAAGGGAAAGTAATCGAATAGTCAAAATAATTTAATTTTTTTGGCCAATACATTATACAGTACGAAGGATGGGGAAGGTTTCTCCCCTTTCTCCGCAAAATCTCGAATATTGAAAACTGTTACAGTTTCGCTGCAAAACAAGCAATGGACTCTTTTTTTGTTTGTTTGTTTGTCACTTTTCCAACTCTGGATTGAATAGGACTAAAAGTTTTGCGGTTCTACCTACCCAAGCGAAGAATGATTCTATTCCAGAAATTTAACGCCAATCTGTTGAAAATTAGAATGAAAAAACACCCCAGATTGGTAAGTCTCGTTTTTTTCCTTTATTTAGTTCTTTATTCTCCCAATACCGGCAGTTGTTGTTGATTCCTATTGCGTAATATCACGTAGGGAAGAATTACGGCGCACATATTGCGCAATAACGTTTGCGATGTTTTGCAGAGATAATTAATTTTGATGTTCAGTCCGAGATTTGTTTATGAACGCTTACTTACTAACTGAAAGAGTTTTACTGTGCTTGCTAAGCAGAATATTTTTTAGTTCCGTTGGTTTATTTTTGTATGATGCACATATTGAAATGTCAAAAGCATTTATTAGCGGAAAAATCTAAAGAGCGGCTACAGTCTACCCCTTTTTGTACTGTAGCCCTAAAGAGCGGCTATAGTTTTTTTTTAATTTTCAGATTTCTTTTTAATTCAATTTAAGAAAAACGTTCCTGAAAATTTAAGAAAATGTTCAGAATTTAGATTTAACCCTTAACTTCTCAATTTTTTTAATTTCTATGAAAAAATTATATCAGCTACTTCTTAAGTAATATAAAAGGGAAAAATATTTTTTAAAAAATTAAGAAGTTTTAAATTGAATTCAGTCATTTTTTTTTGTTTTTGCAGAAGCAAATTGCGCAGTAGTGCGTAAATTACAAAACTTTTTTTTTATATGAGGATTTTATTATTCATTGTTATAATTGCTTTAGCTTTACATACAATGAAAACTTTTAAAGCAGTTATTGACTATGTTGTGAAACGTCCCCTACTTTACACTTTTCACACTGAGTTTGAGTGTAGCTCTTGTAGTTTGGAAACTTGCACCGTATTTATTTCTGACCATATTGGCCAATGATTTATACCATCTCTACGAATGTCCTTACGTGGAACGGATTGGGCAGTCCCTTTGCATCTTTTAGTCTGGGACATTTGTTCTATTGAAGTATTACTAGATCTTCCTCTTTTGGCATTTCGATTGTACCCCATTTTGCATAAGCATGATGCAACTTCAAATTTGAATTTTTGTAAATTCATTAGATTTTTTTTTTTTTTTTTTTTAATTTCAGATTTTCATTGTTTCTTTAATTTGATTAAATCCAGCTCTTGACATTATCTCTATATTGGGAAATGAACTAGAGATGCATAATGCAAAATTCCCAATATTTGTTTCATTCTGGATATAGTCGGGTCTTACTTGGATTCTCTGAATAGCATATCGTTTGCTGTCTTCATAAATGTACTTATGATTTTCTCCTCCATAAATATTTAAAATGGTACGTAGTGTTCAAATCCGTAATTTCTCTTGGGAGAGTTCATCTCCATGATTTTATTACTTCTTCAATCAATGAAATGTTTCGATTTTCCATAAATCTTCTTGACAAGTTTATTATTTAACGTTAAATTTAAAAAAGGTTCTCTGACTGTGTTGAGAATAATCACACTTACTCCCCGTTCTTGTTTTAAT